TGGCAGCTGGAAGTGCTGGGCCTAAGAAGTTCTCCTTCTTCCCTCTGTCCCCAAGGCCCACAGATGCGTGTTGAGTTTTGTGTCTGTTTCTTTGTACTGAAAAAGTTAGGTCATGCACACCGTAGAATGTGGAGCCCTCGCGATCATATCAGGCCAAGCCCCTCCTTTTCCAGGTAATAAAACGGAGCCTCAAAAAGAGTTGTGACTTGGCCGAGGCTCCCAGAAGCCTCGTGGGTTTCTAGCTGCCTCATCGCTCTTGACCTGAGGGGCACTTCACTCGGGAGCTAATCAGGAGTCGCGTTGACTTGCCCTGCTCCTTAGGAAGGAAGGAATACTTATGCGAGGCTTCCCTGGCTAGGGAGAGGGCTTTCTCAGAAGCTGCAGTTGCCCACCTTCCAGAGTCAAGGAAAGTAGCTACTTAAGGAGACATTTAAAAAAATTATTTTGAAGTTTCATCAGTCACCTTAGGAGTGGATACATGGCACCGGAGAAAGCAAGGGAGAGAACTCGCCTACTAGCAGGTCCCAGCCGCCCAGGCCTTGTTTTCCTCTCCGTGCAGTGGAGCAGGTGGCCTGGCCTCAGGGAAGGAGAGAACAGGACGGAGACACTGGCTCAGGGCTCAATAGGCTCGGAGCATTGGGGAAAGTGTCAGGCAGCCCAAGATAGGAGGAGGAGTGGAGGCGGTAATTTAAACTCAGTATTTCTTCATTTGTGATTTTAAACGTTGTGGGTAAGTGACATTAATAGTATAGTAATAGTACATCACTTTCCAGCAATGCCAAACACCAGCCTTTAAGAAAATTGACATTGTTTAAGTGAAGGCCTCCTTTTTGGTCACCTGTTTACATTTAGTAAATTTGAGATGGCATTGCTCAGTTGGTCAGTTGTCCTTTGTTGTAATCACTACCACACTGTTGATTTGATCATCAAGAAGGTTCTGATTTCAGCAGCACTCAGGTAGTTAAAAGCACAGCTAGAAACATGGTAGGTCCATTTCTGTCTACATTGGTATCTCCAGTGATTTACATAAAAGCCAGAAGGTTGAACAAGGAAGTAACTAAAATAAGTAAAATGAGGTCAATTTTGGTTTGGTAGGGAATTTCTATTTTACGTCTGGAAAAATTTGATTTTATATAAAAAAGAACCAATGCAGAGTATCTGAGAAGTCTTTGTTTTTTTTTATTTGCTTCATGTAATCATAGTTATTTTAACTGAATATAGAATCAGAAGAGCTTATTGTTTTTATTTTTACACACAAAAAACCTGACTTGGAACAGAAAAAATTTGCTGTGTATGTCTCTTCAAACAGTAACTGGAATTGACAGATGTTTGTATATTTTCTCTGAATACTCTTTGAGTCATGAATTACCAGTAAAAATAGACTGGCTTAATGTGTTCCTGATTGTTTAGTGTCAGAGGCTTATCTAGTGTTTAGAACAGCGTCCTAGATAGCATGCTGACAACAATCTCATTATTAGCTGAGAAATGGGCATAACCATACTTACCATGGTCATGTTCAATCTTGTAATTACAAACTGGGAATTAAGCTAAACAATCCATAGGATTTCCTGCACATCTGACATTTGATGCTAAGAGACATAGGTGTTGGGCTCACTTGGGAGCGGGCTTGACCTTGGTGCTGTCACTGAGTCCATTAGAGGGCACCGACACACAGAGGAAGGATCTCCTCCCACATCCTCTGACCGGGAGGGAAGGCGGGGTTGTCCCCCTGCTTTGCTTTCTGCCCTGAACCAGGTAGGCTGCCCGAAGGGATCGGCTCTGCCCTTCTCCCGGCGTCTGGCAGCAAAGCAGCAAATCCTGGTGGGCCTTGCTCCTGGGCTCGAGGTCACAAGGCAGAGAGATGGCAGCCGCCTCCACAGCTCAGGTCGGAAGGCGGCTGGCCGAGGTTGATGAAGCCCCCTGGTTTGCAAATACATGTATGTCTTAAGTGGGAAGAATCCACAGCATGTCTGTGAAATGCTCCTTGGACCAGTTTATTGATTCAGGATTCCGTGGAAATCTGGGAAAAGTTCTCCGACTTGTGAAAGATGCGAAAGCCTAGGAGGGGGTTTGGTTTTGAACACGAACTGGGTTTCATACTTGTCTGCTACCCTTCTAATTAAGTGCTTGGACTTTGTACACTCTTCTTTGAATTGCTTTCATATTTGTTGGAAGTATAATTTGACCTGGTTATTTACAATTTTGTCTAAAGGAACCACTGATGAAAGAAAAATGCCCATGATAACCCTGAGCAGTTGGCTTATAATAGCTTTCATTTCTAATTTACGCTTCCTGAAACACTTTCTTAGGCTTAAAAAATAAATTATGCCGTAACCGGTTTAGCTCAGTGGATAGAGTGTTGGCCTGCGGACTGAAAGGTCCCAGGTTCGATTCCGGTCAGGGCATGTACCTTGGTTGCGGGCCAAATTATTTTTACTTCTTAAATATGCTTTTATTGATTTCAGAGAGGAAGGGAGAGGGAGAGAAAGAAACACTGATGAGAGAGTCATTGATCGACTGCCTCCTGCACTCCCCATACCAGGGATCGAGCCCAAAACCCGGGCTTGTGCCTGACCGGGATGTAACCGGGGACCTCTTAGTTCATGGTTTGACGCTCAACCATGGAACCGGCTGAGCGATTGTTATTATTTTTTAAATACTGCATTTTGATTTCCCAGCCCTTTCTATCAAGAATAATGTTCACCTTTTACCTTTTGAAATTGTGCCACATTTCAGGTCTGTATTGAGCCACCAGTAATCATCGGGTTTGCTCCTTACCCATGGCCTCATTTTTTTTTTTTTACAGTTGAGGAATATACAGAATATACCATAATTACAGTAAAAAATGCCTCCCAGCCCTGCACGCAGGCCTGACGGGCAGGAGGACTGAGGCATAGGTGCTACTTATATAGCCCTGAATTCTTTTCAGTCTTACAATATTTGATCCCTGTCTTTGCATGAGGTTGGCCTCATGTCCAGAGGCACATTCCATTGACTGGGTCCATTCCTTGAGGCTGAGATGTCTTGAAATTGTCATTGGACATTAATTCAGGAGTGCATTTTAAAATATGTGTTTTAAAATATGTACTACGAGCCTGTGGTCTAAACAATTCGGTAGCTTGATATGTGCCTTGAAGTCCAGCAGTGAGTGTAGCACCACCTTCTAATGGCAGTACTGATACTAAAGGTCTCTCTCTCTCTTTCTCTCTGAAGAAAAGTAATGTACTAAGTGCACTAGTTAGAAAGCAATGGAACCTTTTAGCTGTGCCACCACAGTGCTTACAATTAGGTGGAAGCCTGCCTCGGGTTGTGTCTGTGGGTGGGGCTGCTCAGGTGCTGTGTATGTGCCACTCTGATGTTAAGGTGCTTCACCCCGATATCACGGAACATTTGCAACCTGGCCTGGTTATCACCACTGAGCCAGTGGGGAAACTGCAGCTCAAAACCTGTGTTTGTATGCAGGGGCTGGAGGTGAGTGGGGGAAATGAGAGAGCTTTTAGAAGGATGGGGGCTGAGGTGATAGACAGAATACAAATGGACCCCATGAGACTTACTCTGTAGTGTGCCCCCAGGTGACTGGCAGAGTGGTGGTGCTGACAGAAAGTTTCAGACATGAACTATCTACAATCAAAGGTAAACGTGTAGCTTTGGCCCGAGCACCCACTGCAGAGCTTGGTCTCCATACACCCCTCACTTCCTCCCCTTCCAGGTACCCACACACTTCTGCTCTCAGCGTCTGTGATTCTACAAGGGCCTTCAGAGAGGCCCACAGAGATCGAGTCCCCTTCGCAAGCCATTTTATTTATTGCAAATGTTGTTAAGCCCTGCGCAGAAGGGACCCCCTCAGGCCCTCAGCTTCCCAAGGTCACTGGTTTGGAGCAATGAGGAGCAAGGCCGTTGTCTCTAGACAGGGGGCTTGGGCCCTTGCTGTCTCTTTTCTTCTGGACACCTGTTAGCACAGCTGGCATCTCTGTAGTGTAGGTGACAAAGGGCAAGGGATCCCTTTGCAGCAGCGAACCCTGAGTTAGGCCCTTTTATTTGCCTCAGTGGAGTGCTATGGCTGGCAGGCTTCTAGGTTGCCCTGTAGGCCACCATCCTAGCTGTGCCTGCCCAGGTGGTTCTGCAGTCCCAAATCCTTTTGATCCATATGCCTAGTTACCACAGTCACTGAAATGCAAGTTCAAGGCAGCCTTCAGTGCTTTAGCTGCATAATAACAACTCTATTTAAATATTTAGATGGCCCCTTTACTTAGTGTTTTTAGTTTCTAGTCAAAGACAGCACTGAGTTTTTTGCTAGTTACTTCCGCTCCATCAGAAAGTGACAACGTGTGCATCTGATGTCGTGTAAATAGTTCGTTAGTTATTGTCAGCCTTTCGCCACTCCGAGAGCCAGTGAACTCCTCGGTCCCCACTGTGAGCTGGAAACGTCGGGCGTACGCTCTACTTGCCCTCTGTCTCTGCAGTGGAGTGGATTTCAACAAGAACTTAAGTAATTAAATCCACTGACTGTTCGCTTTCACAACAGCTTAGTTTATAGAAGAAATTGCCCTTAAAGACCAGGACAGAGGCGTTCAAGGGCTTTGTTTTCTTGGGTTTTACTGATATGTGTCAAGTCTTCTAAGGACGAGACAGGAAAACACTAACTGTAGTTAAGCCTGAATTGCGCTTTGGTCTCTGTGGCTTGATAACTCCGATCATACGCAGTCAGATTTGGTGGCTCGGTCATGAAGTGAGGTGAGGTTTAAATTAATCATCATTGCTGTAACATCACTACATAGATTTACACATTTAAAGTAAGAGCTGATTAGAATTGTGGTGGAAAGCTGATAGAAGATATAATTCTCAAGTGTGTTAGATTAGTATACAATTGCTTTCATTTTTCTCCTTCTTCTTCTTTTTAAATAGAGTTTTGACAACAGCATGTATCTTCAGTTGATAGCCCTAAACCTTGAGCAACGCAGGCCGTCGTTTTTATGGCCAAACTCTTGTTTTCATTGCAGGTGCTGGACTGGATCGAGAACCATGGGGAAGCATTTCTGAGCAAACATACAGGTGTGGGGAAATCTCTCCATCGGGCCAGAGCTCTGCAGAAACGGCATGAAGATTTTGAAGAAGTGGCACAGGTAAGACAATGGCTTTCCCTGTTTTCTCCTGTAAATACCTGTGTGCTTGATTTTGAAACTGTTGTAACCACAGCTGAGGAGAGCTCGCCTTGGCTACATGTGTGTGAAGGTGACTCAGAAGAGATGATGCTCAGATTTCAGAGGGTACCTGGCCAGTGGAGGCAAAAGATGATGCAGTCAGTTGACCCTTTTGAAAACTGTGATGTTCTTGAAACAGAAAAACATCTTGAATGTTCTGCCACATTTATGGTGCCAAGTGTCTGTTGATTAGCTTGTGAAAGTTCTGTTCATACCCAGAGGGCCTTGTATTTCTGAAATGTTGGGCCAGCATTCTTGTCCTTTTCCCAGTTCTTCTCCATGTGTGTGCTTAGGAAGCAGGCGGGGAGGCTGTGGTGTGTCCAGAACCCGGGAGCTGTGGAGTTCAGGGTGGGCCACGGTGCTCACTCGCAGTGTGACTTTGGAAAGTCTCTTAACGTTCGTTCATACCCAGAGGGTAATGGGCTTTGCATTTCTGAAATGTTGGGCCGGCATTCTTGTCCTTTTCCCAGTTCTTCTCCGTGTGTGTGCTTAGGAAGCAGGCGGGGAGGCTGTGGTGTGTCCAGAACCCGGGAGCTGTGGAGTTCAGGGTGGGCCACGGTGCTCACTCGCCGTGTGACTTTGGAAAGTCTCTTAACGTTTCTGAGGTTAACTCTCTTGTCTGAAGAACAGGCTCTTAGAGAGGAAGTGCATCTAGGAAGAAAGGGCTGGGATTAATAGTTGGTAAATATGTCTATAAATCTCAATGGATCGACCACTTAAACGAAAGACAGCGATTTGATGGGGAGTTACAGACTTCAGCTACAGAGGGAACTAGAGCACCAACCACTTCAACTCTGGAGAGGGGAAGGTGTTCTGAGGACGCGGGAGGAGTGGTTTCTCTTGCATGTGCAAATTCAGGAGTGTATGTTAGCATTTTCAAATGACCACTGTAAGTGTAGGAATAGAAATCACTTCCAAGTAAGTTTAAAGGGAAAAGAAATACAAAAAATTAGATAAATAAAAACTCACTAGATGAATCTGTTGGAAAGAAAAGAAATCAGAACAGACATCATGATAGAAATCACAAAATAAGATATAATAATTTGTCTATAAGTATTGGTGATTACAGTAAACACAAATAGATTATAGTTGTTAAAAGACAAAGATTTATCCAATTGAATACCTTTTAGAAATCATGCTGTATATTGTTTTCAAAGGACACACCTAAAACATAAATACCCAGGAAGTTTAAAAATATATAAACTAGTAGAAAAAGATCTACCAAGAAACTATAGCAAACAAACAAACAAAAACTAGTATCAGAATTGGAATATTAAACTAATAAACTTAAAAGCATGAAACCATTATTAGAAATAAAGAGGGTGTTCAATTATAAAAGGAAAAGTGTCAATATACATCTAACATGATAATCTCAAAGTCTATAAAACAGAGGTAAACAGCAGTAAACCCTGGCTGCTCTGTCTATAGGTTCTACATGAGAGGGGAACCTCAAGGAACTAAATATGGGCTAGAATTATGGGAACTAAACAAACTGCACTGAAGTCCTATTCAGTGAAAATGCCTTTAAAACGTGACCTTTTTTGTGTTTTTTTAAAAAATATTTTTTATTGATTTCAGAGAGGAAGGAAGAGGGAGAGAGATAGAAACATCAATGATGAGAGGGAATCATTGATCGGCTGCCTCCTGCACACCCCCAACTGGGGATCGAGCCCACAACCTGGGCTCGAACCCGGGACCCTTCAGTCTGCAGGCGGACACTCTATCCACTGAGCCAAACCAGCTAGGGCAACGTTACCTTCTTTACATGTCTTCATATGTGAAGTGAAAACAAGAATCCCAACCTTCCTGCTTCTCAACCTCAAGAAACAAGAAAAGATCGTGTTCGGCTGCCTCACCACAGGTAGATGCAGCTGGGTTTTTCCTTATCTACATTATACATGGTCTTTCTTCTTGCACTCGCTGGAAAGTATTTGCCTTCCTCTTGTAGCAAAAATATGTGGAAAATGTGCTCTTATCTCCCCTTTATTTTCTCCATAAGATAAGGCACTGCTAGAGCCAGTATGGTTCGAGGAAGGATGTGAAAGTTGGATCATGTGAACAAAGACTTCAGGCCCCAAAGAACCTAAGAGACGGGACTGGCAACAACCAAGCTCTGGAGATGCAGGCTCCTGCCCCACGCAGCGCCTTCCCCAGCCCCGCCTCCCTTCCTGAGCGCGCTCAGATACAGAGGCCGAGGGTCTACTAACGTCCTCCTGTGTGTCCAGCACCCATGGACCGCCTCCCTCCCATTCCTGTGGTTCCTTCCATTCTCAATCAGGGAAATCTCTCCTGTGGCCCATCCTGCCCTATGTTTTTCTGGTAAACCTGTTTTATTCAGTCTAAGATGATCATCGAGGCTGTTGAGACAGGTTCTCGGGGCAGCAAGAGCGAGAACACTTTTTTGTAGGAAATGTCTCTGCTTTAAGGTTTCCAGAGCAAGCCAAGGGCAGAGCCCTGAGCCACAGTCTGCTTCTTATACTGGTTCAGGGATAGGTAGGAGCTTGCCTGCTCCTCCCTCGACCCATCGGAGTTTCAGTTCTTTCCTGTCATCTCTGCTCATTGCCCCTGGGATTCTAAGGGGTGCCTGGCACACTTTTCCTTAAATTGAAAGGGCTTAAGGCTAAATCATAGCTGTTCATGGAAAGAAACCTTAAATGTAAACACCTTTTGCAGACTTTGCAAACATCTGTGCCTACATTCTCTCCCTCTGGCTTTCAAATAATCACCTGTCATGTGTCAGACATTCTGCCAGACAAGGGGGATGGAGAGGAGGTAAAGGGTGGGCCGACAGGCCAGACCCAGACCCCCTGAATGGGCATGGCCACCTGTCAGAGGGCTTTCCCTGGTAGTTCTTGCTGGCTAAGCCAAGACCTACTCATGAGTCAATTTCAGTTTGGTGACAAGGAAGAGGATGTGAGAGGCAGGCCGGGGGGACAACAGCTGGGACTGTTGGGCAGCAGAGCCACGTGGCCGTGTGGGCTCTGGGGTTCTACGTGCAGGTGACTAGCCTCTTCTCTCTGTGGGCCTCTCTCCTTTGCAGACTCACGATGGGGTGCAGGCTCCAAGCTCTCCACCCCACACCTGGCCGTGCCTCTTTTCTCTCTCACATCTTGGTGTTCCCTCTGCCTGTGCTCTCCTTCCCGCTGCACTGCCAGGACCCGGCCCTTCAGTCTGGCCTCTTTTCCCAACATCTTCAACTTCTCCCGCTCTTAGTTCCTTTCTCTCTGGCACTAAATACTTTTAGACCTTTCCCACTCTTGAAAATGTCACTGGATACGGCCCTTTTTTTCGATGCCTAGTTGGTTTTGAAAGAGTGCTCTACCACTTTCCTCTGCCTGCCCATTGACCACTGTTGTAGCAGTCCAGCACGCAGTAGGCACACAGTGATAGTCATTGGTCAATGTAGACATTTAAAAGTCTGTCAGAGCCAAGGTCAAAGACAAAGAGAGAATCTTAAGGGCAGCAAGAGAGAGACAGTTAGTTACCTACAAGGGAGCTCCCATAGGCTGTCAGCAGATTTCTCAACAGAAACATTTCAGGCCAAAGTGGATTGGCATGAAGTATTCAAAGTAATGAAAAGCAAGAACCTGCAACCAAGACTGTTCTATCCAGCAAGGCTATCATTTAAAATTGAAGGCAAAATAAAGAGCTTCCCAGACAAAAGAAGGCTAAAGAAATTCAATACTACCAGACCAGCATTACAAGAAATGCTAAAGGGACTGCTTTAAGAAGAAGAAGAAATAGAGAGAGGAACATAGGCATAAAGAAATAAGTGGTAATAAGTAAGTACCTATCAATAATAACCTTAAATATAAATGGATTAAATGCTTCAATCAAAAGACATAGGGTAGCTGAATGGATGAGAAAACACGACAAATATATGTGCTGTCTCTAAGAGACCCACCTCAGAACAGAAGATTCATACAGACTGAAAGTGAAGGGATAGAAAAAGTATTCTATGCAAATGGAAACAAAACAAAAAAGAAAAGCTGGGATTGCAATACTTATTTCTCACATAATAGGCTTCAAAACAAAGGCTATAACAAAAAGACAAATAAGGTCACTATATAATACTAAAGGGATTGATCCAACAAGAAACTCAATATAGGAGCACCCAAGTATATTAAAAAAAACTCGGTGCACTTTAAGGAAGAGATCAATGGCAATGCAGTCATAGTAGGGCACTTTATCACCCCACTGACTTCACTGGATAGATCTTCCAGAAAAAAACATCAACAAGGAAACAGCGACCTTAAATGACACACTAGATCTTGATGGATTTAATTACATTTACACAACATTTCATCCCAAAGCTGCAGAATACACATTCTTTTCAAGTGCACATGGAACAGTCTCAAAGATAGATCACATGTTAGAACATAAAATAAGTCTTAACAAATTCAAGATTGAAATCATATCAAGCATCTTCTTAGATTACAAGGGCATGAAACTATAAATCAACCACAATAAAACTTAAAACATTCAAACACATGGAGGCTAAATAGCATGTTATTAAATAATGAATGCTTTAAGAATGAGATCAAGGAAGAAATCAGAAATTACCTGGAAACAAATGAAAATGAACACAAAACAACCAAAATCTGTGGAACACAGTGAAAGCAGTCTCTAGAGGGAAGTTCATAGCATTACAACCTTACCCCAAGAAACAAGAAAAATCTCAGATAAGCTCTCTAACCCTACAACTAAAATAACTAGAAATAGAACAAGAAAAACCCAGAGTAAGTATACGGAAGGAAATAATAGCGACTCTAGCAGTGGGCGTGCAGACCTGGTACATCACAGGGAGCACCCTAGAACTACTTCCAGCTGGTTCTAGGAGTTGGCTGTGCCTCAGAGGGCACCATCGGGCCTCTGAGGTGAATGCCCTCTACGATTGGAACTAGTCACAAGCATAGTAAGGT